GGACTCCTCCTGGCGCGCCACACCTTGGCCGGCCGGCCCCCCTCCCTTGAACCTTTATATACGGAGGCAGGGGCACCCCTAGAGACACAAGTTGATCCACGTGATCATATTCTTAGCCGTGTGCGGTGCCTCCTTCCACCATAGTCCTCGATAATATTGTAGCGGTGCTTAGGCGAAGCCCTGCGACGGTAGTACATCAAGATCGTCACCACGCCGTCGTGCTTACGGAACTCTTCCCCGACACTTTGCTAGATCGGAGTCCCGGGATCGTCATCGAGCTGAACGTGTGCTAGAACTCGGAGGTGTCGTAGTTTCGGTGCTTTATCAGTCGGGCCGTGGAGACGTACGACTACATCAACCAAACGCTTCCGTTGTCGATCTACAAGGGTACATAGATCATACTCTCCCCTCTCGTTGCTATGCATCACCATGATCTTGCGTGCGCGTAGGAAATTTTTTTGAAATTACTACGAAACCCATCACCCCTCCCCTTGGAGAGCCCTCTCCGGTGCTCCCACCTGTGGGCGATGCATCTGGTGACACCCTGGTGCTCGTCGCCCCGCTTCCCCCGCTGGTGGCCCCCGACGCCCACCCCACTTCCCCTGCCTCCCCGACTTCGACGCTGGCCACGTTCATCACCTCTCCGGTCTCCGCGATCCCTCCTCAGACGGTGGCGTACACCAGGCGGCCCCGCTCCTCCTCGACGCCGGTGACAGCATCTCGCCGCTGCGCCCTCCTTGATGCGGTTCGCCCGGCCGATGCCTCGGTTTCGTCCATCGCCGAGCGTGCTGAGATCCGGGCGGCTGCCCGGAACCTCGAGTCAGGTGTGGATTCCGCCCTCCCCAGTTCTTCCTGTTGTTCCTTTTCCACGCTTGAGGCCGTTCCTCTTGGACACCTTGCCAAGGTGGCCACTGACTCGGCCATCGTTTTCAGGGGGGAAGTGGGTCCCCCCTTAGAGCAGATCGCGGCCATTAGGGCTCGCGAGATCCTGGATGGTAAGCTGGCTGAGACTCGGGCTCGCCTGCGTAGGACTCCTAAGGACCAGACTGCCTGTGCCGCTGTTCAGGCCCCTCCGGTGGTCGACGGGGCTATTCGTGGGCGCACTCGGTCCCGCACTGCTGCTCTCCGCGCCCAAAGCGCATCTCATGTCCTGGGGTCAAGCAGCCCCTCAATGGGGGCTTAGATGCGGGCCCTTTTTTGGAACATCCGCGGCTTCGGTCATGATGGCCGACGCCGCCAACTAGTCGAATACATGCGTGACGAACACATTGACATCATTGCGATCCAAGAAACCTTGCGTACTGAGTTCTCCCTCCATGAGCTTGACTGCCTCGGCTCTCACCTCTTCGCCTGGCATTGGCTCCCTTCTAGTGGGACCACGGGCCACTCCGGTGGCATCCTTTTAGGGGTTAAGGATGCCACCTTCGAGGTGGGCGGCATGGACCGGGGCGAATTCTTCATTAGCATGGAGATTCTTGAGCGAGCTTTGAACTTCAAATGGGAGGTCATGGTTGTCTATGGTCCGGCGGATCACCGCCGTTCCCCGACCTTCTTTGCGGAGCTCCACCAAAAGATCTCCGCCTCCCTCCTCCCAGTAGTTGTGGGCGGAGATTTTAACCTCATCCATTCTCCGGACGAGAAGAATAATGATAGGATTAACCTCCCCTGGATGCAGTTGTTCAACGACTGGATCGCGGAGCTTGGCCTCCGGGAGATCGAGCGGACGGGGGCGCGATTCACCTGGACTAACCGCCAGGACGACCCGACGCGATCCGTCTTGGATCGTGTCCTAGTTTCCCCGGAGTGGGAATTGAGGTGCCCCCTGACCTCGCTTCGGGCGATTACCCGGATTGGGTCTGACCACGTCCCTCTCCTCCTATCCTCTGCGGACGAGCGCCTCTCCCCCTCCCGCCGCGGTTTAGGTTTGAGTCCTTTTGGCTCAACCAGGCCGGCTTTCGGGATGCGGTCTCTGCTCGTTGGACTCTTGCTCGCACCTCTCCCCATCACTCCATGTCCGCCGTTGACTCGTGGCACTTCTGCGCCAAGCTTGCCCGCCAATTCATGAAGGGCTGGGGCGCTAATCTTGGCCGTGACCTCCGCGAGCGTAAAAGATCTCTCTTGTTGGGTATTCAGGCTCTGGACGCCCGGGCCGACTCCTCCGGGCTCTCCCCAGATGAGTGGATGCTGAGATATGATCTTGAGGATCAACTCTCCTCCATCTACACAGATGAGGAGGCATACTGGAGGTTGCGTGGTACCCAAAGATGGGTGCTCCGCGGCG